TGTAAGATGATCAGCAACCATGTCTAAGATTAATAAATCATTTGGATTTGAATTAAGAAGTTCTTCAGATGGCTGATCAGGTTTACTTGTTTTCTGTATTGGGACTGACATTTCAACATTTGTTTTGCCACTTGCTTGATTAATATGAGTATATTTTTTATCAATGTACCCTCTAATGTCTTGAAACCTTTTCTTATCTTGGTTCAAAGCTTCAGCATGTTGATCTAGATCAACTTGCACAACAGAAAATGTGATTGGATCTTTTTTATGCAGTGTCATTAAAACTTCCATTGCTTTAAATTGAATAAATTCCATGTTGACTATATCCAAAGATAGTTTTGCAAGATAGTAACAATGAGCCAAGGTATTAGTATTTTTTGTAGACCTTATCAGACTTTGAGCAATATCCAGTATACCAAACAATAATGAGTATGAAACTGATTCTGAGATATAATCAGACATAATTTTTAATTTAGATTTGGTATTATGTTCATTTGTTTCTGATTTTGCTGAAGCTGCTTTATTCCATTCTTGGTCACCAAATTTCCATAAATCCTTAATAAGCATCAACTCCCCTTTAGCAACCAAATTTCTATGAATTGGAGCAGCTGACCATTCAACAAATGCTTGGTAAATTGTATACAAGTACCTCCATTCCTTGTACCAATGTCCCACAGAAAACTTAGATTGTAAAGCCTTCTGAATATTATTATAGATTTCAATAGTGAATTTGTTATCAATTGGGGTTTCCATAGTTGTCATAACACCTGTCATAACACCTGTCATACCAGGTAAAGCCTCGACTAGTGAAGCAAAAAGAGCCTTTAGTTGGTTTATAATTTCAAGCCAGGCAGTCTTATCATCATCCATCACATGAAGAGTATTATAAAGATGCATAAGTAAAAAATAATTGTTATAATTTTGAACTTTAACACTTTCCTCCAAAGTAGCAAATAAAACCTTTGGACCTTGTAAGCCTTTTTCTATAACTTTGGCATAACATTGATGGAAGCCATACATTCTTGCAAGATTTTCATGCAAAGTTTCAAGTAATTTCTTGTCCATTTTAACAAGTCGCTTGCCATATGTTTCTAAAGTAAATGCATATGCTCTAAGATGCAGTTCCAATTCAATATCAGCAGTCAACTCATAGTCATTATATGCAACATTAATTCCAATTGTTTCCAAAACATTTCTCAACTGGCTAACCTCTAACCTATTACCAAATAATAGCAACAGATTGGATAATTTAATAAGATGACTGACTCTGTCATTACTGTTGAGAATTGATTTCAAAGTTGTAGATAGTTGCTCATTTAATTCAACTTTGCTCAGATGTGCTGTAAACACTTGTTCATCTACATAGTCATCACCATCATTATTATCACTGTCACTTTCAAAGATAATGAGGTCTCCGTTAAATACATCTTTAGTCTCTATCTCTGCACTATCAAGCTGTTTTCCTTTCCCTTTGTTTTTGGTACCTGAAGATGATGGTTGTCCAATCTCCTAGTAATATTGATATTAAAATGAGTTGTATTTTATTATGAGCATTGTAAGAGTTGTTTAAGCGGAAAAATTATCTTGAAAAGGAGTTTATTGAATGTATAACCAAAACTTACCCAGCTGTCTGCTGGCGACGAATATTCACGGTCCATTACCAAATACAAAAGTTTCTATTGACAGTACTTGTAGTGTGCACAGTGGAAATTCGCTTGTTTATGCTTGTGTGATGTGATACAATTGGTTGTGAAAATATAGATTGCGAGGCATTGCTACATTTTAGCGGATAGCGTGCCCGAATTTTGAGAACATATGCAACGGCTCCTCTGTCCACAAATACAGTGGACTCTTTCTTCTCTATTGTTGCGCGATATGGCCTAGCTAGTGTTTTAATTTCTATAGCAATAAAGACAACCTATTACAAGTGACTCCCGATATAAGAAAGTAGTCGGGCCCGGACACATTCCTTTCTTAGTCGAAAATTTCTTATGGGATATTAAATCGGGTCCAGCAAATTTCTTATATCAAAGGGTTCTTATATCGAGAGCCATTTGTACCTGGAAACTACAATTTCATCTCATAGCATTATCAATAGTGATAGTATTTGTAATAGATTTGCGGATCAATATAGTCATCTATACAGACAATAGTAGTAGCATCACATATTCAATAAGAGAACACTTGTAACGTTCCTTACGGGACGGGACCTGGTCGATATTTTTTATTGTATCTGGTATAGCTTTATTCTTAATTTCCTTCTCATGGTTTGGTCATTACGAAAGAAATAGTCTTTTTTTTATATGTGGCTTATGTTTCTGTTTCGCCGCCATCTTGCGTCCTACTACATTACGGGCAGGAGAATTGGTCACATTCGTCAAAGAAGAGTCAAGGAACGATTGATATAAAACAAGGATATCTGGAGTCCCTCCGTCAAAGCTCGCAGAAGGACATTCGAGTTCAGGTATCATGTGTTCGTTTGTAAACTGAAAGCACAATACACAATCGAATGAATAAATTCATAAATAATTCTCATTTCAAACTTTCTTTTCGCCTTCCTCCTCACACATTCTCACCTATCACCAATTGAAACCAGCACCTCTTCACCACGTCCTCCCACCTCTTCCTCATACTCTCTCTACTCCTCATCACCCTCACTCTTTCCCATCATCGTCTTCACCACACCAACGGACTGGAGATCGATATCATCTTGCAAATCTTCACAAACCGTCGTCAATGCATCATCTCAATGATTGGCTTGCATTATTTCATCTACCAGCACAGTTTCGTCATCTGCGCCTTTCACGATACGCAAAACCGATACTGACCTGCCATGCGAGAAACACATTAACTCCACATTTCTGAATCGACGGTAAGCTGTCGATACATAGCAACATAGCAACATAGAAGGATAATCAATAAACCTGACGGATAGATCGGAAAGTGATTTTGGTTAATCCTTTGTCACAATGTTGCTTATACATCGTGTTACCTGTTGTGTTAAGAGATAATTATCTCCTTCCCATGTGGGATTTGGGTATAATTCTACGATGCGAGTATGTGATAAATCCACTGAATTTCGAATAGCCATATAAGCCTACAGTCTTCAACTGCCACCGTAGTAGTTAATGGCTCGAGAACCTGCAGAGAGGTTGCGTTTCGCTCTGTTCGATGTACGTTGCATATAGTTCTCTTAATACAGTTAAATGGTTATTTAATAGTCATACTCTTATACACAGTGGCTCTCGATAAGATGATGTCGTCAGGCCGGATCAAAAGGATCATATTATCGAGCGTTCATTATATCGAGCGTTCTCGTTATAACGAAAGCCATTGTTATAACTGATTTGGGCCCAGGAAAAAGCATCATATTAGCGAACATCATATTATCGAGGGATCATTATATCGAGAGCCACTGTGTATATGGTTCAAAAGGTTTGTAATACACATAGTGGCTTAGTCTGATTTTGCAGATCAATTCTAGAATAATCTGCAAGAAAATCTCGAAATCTGATTGGCGCTCGACATTAGATTGATTACAGTAACATACGCTTTCAGAATCCCACAACTTTGCATAGTAGTTTTCTATTAAATTGAGTTTAAAGTTTACGTCTCGCTCTAGATGAACGTAAAAGTAGTGCCCAAAGACGAAGATGTCAATCGACAATTATTATCCGAGAATGCAGCATTAAAGAAGCGGTTAGATGAGATGAAGCATTTAATGACCAACAAGGTCGTATTAGATCTGTGACAGAAATCGCCGAGAGAGAACGAGGTAATTTGTACAGCGATATAGTAAGATGAAAAATCATAAACGATTTGGTTTAGATAGTTTTTTGGAGTATTCTCCTTCAAAGCGGAGCGGAATCCGGTCATTGTGAGGTTTATCGAAACTCTACCCATAATTAAGACGAACATCAAAATGAAAGGGAGAAGCTTTTTAAGTGTGCCGTAGCAGTTGATGCTATATACGGATCAAGGCATCTGAAATATGTCTCTGCTATTAATTTGGCCGCTTCAGCAACCAAATATTCGTTAACAAGATCAGGAATGGTCATTGACATCGACAACCACATTATGAGCTCCGGTTGCTATAAGAAGTTTACTAACTGGTTAGAAAGTTTGACTATAGAACAGCCACAGCTTCCCATGGTTTAGCCTTTGACAATGAACAGAAAGGTCAAAAAAATTACTTAGATATAATACGGTCATATTCCATATCGTTACGAGTTTTGTCGCCTCTAATTACATCAAAGTAACATGTTCAGAATACGGATTCTTAGCTATATTCCGATCAGGCTTATCAAGTCAATCCCGTGATGACTTAATGAATACCCTTCAAGAAGTTAGAAATATATTGTTATGAACTTTTCTACAACGATTTCCAGAATTTTTTTACTGCCATGATCATGCTTTACTGTACGTGTATTACAGAAGTTTATTGACAAGCGCACAATGCAAAATGTGGACAAAAAAGCCAATCACTTTTAAGCCAGAAAAAAACTCCCAAGTAATAGTACTACTAAACATTGCAGGAAGAAAAAATGACCAAGAGTGAAAGAAAAAATAAAACCCAAGAGCAATGTTCTTTATTAGCTCAGGTAACAAAGAATAAGAAAGACGGAACAGAAATAAAGCAATTTGGCAACTCTAAAATCGCCAACGACAACAATGAAAGATTCGATACATTTGAATTGGGTAAAAAAGGAAATAAACTGCAAATATCAAACTGAGTAATGAGAAATAAAATCTCTCCAATAACGGTCTTTTTCCCAGACAAATACACACCTGACCACTAAATCAAATGCTTGATGTTCTTTATTACGAAAAGAGTTTCCCGAGGTGGAGGCGTGGGAATAAAGAATTGACCAGCCGCCCTGTTGCAATCATCGCTCATGCGAGAAAACCCTTCGCAACCGGCCTTGGCAAACTCGGCCACTCCTTTGCTCATTTTTACTCCTTCTAGAGCACCACCTGCTACTCCGTCGATGGCAGCGTCTATGCCCAATCCTCTAAAAAATCCACCTACTTCTTTACAATCATCGTTATCGGTTAAATGACCAATTCCCTCTGTTATCAGTCCTCCTCCAGCTATGACAGCCGTAGCAGGACCAGTTACTATCGCTGCAGGAGTAAAATAACTAATCGCCAAGGCGGTGGAGCCGATTTTCTTTACAATCTCCGTGGCCACGTCTTCGGACGAATTGCTATTACCCATAACTTTGTTAAGAAAGACTTTATCGAGTTAAATGAAACCTTGTGTCAAGGTGTGGTTATCTTGAAACTTTAGACCGCTTGTTGGTGAGGAGAACCCAAATCTATTATAAGTAAATGTGTTGCTGTCGAAAAAGGTTCTACAACTTTCCCACAAAATTTCGCTCGAAGGTTCTATCGCTAAAACCGTTTAATTCGGTCAAAATAGATTGTTTGTAAATAAATGTACGTAAAAGTTAGTAAGCAAATAATCAAAGAGTTTAGCTAAAATTCAAATGTGAGGGAAGACTACATAAATTATTAACTCCCGGACGAAGCAGGCAATTTAGAAATATGTAATTTTCCTATGAGAATAACCAAAGGCTAATTTTGCCAAAATTGAATTGTTCCGTCCTGTGACAAATTTGGTCTTGCTAATTCGATTCACTTTGAGCGTAGAGATTCGCGCGCTTGTTCATTGGAACAGTTCCACTCTCGCGAAAGCCGTTGTATACTCATTGTTTATTTGCTGGTAATGATGGATTTTACTTTTGCTTGAGTTGTTATGTATGCATAGTAAGCAATCCGCCAAGGGGAAATAGACATTCACTTGCGGCAAACAAAACTCATGCACTACCTATGTTTTGTAACATGACCTTAAATTCCCACCTTTATCACTCATGCACGATCTTAACCTGATATGTGACGATATATTCCCATTTATTTGCGCTAATCTTTTCGGGTAAGCTCCGTGGGAATTTATATACAACCATTTTTATGCATGACTGACGCAATACTTTAGATTGATTAAACAATGCCAATACATGTCTATTTGACACTTGACAGCGACTTTCTTTAACCCTACGACGAGATTGATATAGCATCGATCGGAATAAACGAATGAACATTTGTTAAACGTATACTGTACGTCTTTTTATTGTTCGTCACATAAAGACGTAGCGTCTATAAGAGTTAACATATTATCGGAACAATAACAGTAACAATTGTCAAGTACCAAGTAATTAAATCTATTATTATCTCTAATTAACAATAGTAAATGTCGAACTAGTAGTTGCAGAAACGCTAGCATCATTTGGAAGCGATGCTTCAAGTTTACAAATATAGCCGTTAACAGCCCAACTTGGATCGACTTTGATGTTTGCTTGACCGCTAAAAGCGTTGGTACCCTAAACCCAAGTTAAATTGATTTGTTAATAAGTCTTCTATTTACGTTGTTAAAGTAATTAATTTTATCATTTTATACTTACAGTTGTAGTAAATACCGTATTACCATTGCAGTCGACGGAAATCTTTACCAAGTCTATTATACAAATGTAGAAAAAAAAAGTCTGTTAACAGTTATGTTCAAGAAAAATCAATAAAATAATGTTTTCGTACCTGTAGGATGGCATTGAGGACACGACCAGCTAGCAGTTTGTGTAGTCTGAATAGCCCAAGCACTAGGTTGCGGCAAAAGGGTTAGGACAGCTCTTTTATCAAGTTCCGGGATTGGCTTGGACGCTGCCAAAGTTGCAAGCAAGACGACGAGAACGACAAAGAGTGACAAAGTTCTGTTTGCAAAAGCCATTTTTTACGATAATGAAAGAGTGTGAAAGGACTTGATGAGTAGAGCTGTGGTAGAGTAGTTGTATGTTTAGCAAGATAAAGGATTTTTGATCACGAAGAAATCAGGAAAGCGAACTTGGATGCCGTTTAAATAAGTTTTTTTGTTGACTGTGCTTTTATGCAAGTAATTTATTGAATTGTAGGTTACTGGCTGTTTTAACATCAAAGAGCCTTGTAGTCGTTCTAAAAATATAGCGATGTTGTCAATCTTTTCAGACAAGGCGTAAAGAATGATTGCCTTGAGTTTAATCCCATGGTAATACAAAGCGTAAATTAAAATTTAACGTTAACTGTAACAATGACAATGCATGCATTATCTTTCTGCCAAGCTTATTTTTCAACAAAGTTTCGGAAAGGCTAAGGTATTGACGCAAAAAGACTTACAAACATTCAAATCGATCATATTGTGGAGCTGGTGTATGCATGCAATTTACTTTTCATGTACGTTTCGGTTTTTGATTGGTTAAATTGTGCATCCCGTTGTGCAACCAATCGTCTTTCCTTGTGATTAAATAGAAAACGACGTCTTCGTTTTCTTTATTGAAAGCTTCTATAATAAGAAAGAACGATCACCAATAGATCAGACTTTATAATGGGTATTCCCTTTATGAGGGTTTTTTATGGAGGTTGACTGCATTATTTCAAAGCTCTCAATTCAACAGTTTTTACAGGTCGCCTTGCCATGCATATTAATATGTATTGTCAATTGCGTGTGTTACGAAAGAAAAGCTCGAGTCTGAACATTAATACTATTTTTTAAATAGACACTACTAAATTTTACTATGTTCAGTGCGTTTGGTAAAGTTGAGACAAAGACGAACAATTGGCTGCTGTGCATCTTAGCTAATGCTGTAAACGTTGATCTTTGATCACAAAAATGGACGATCACTTAATGCTTATTTGCTGTGCCACCATAATCCTTTATCCGGTTACTATAACAAGCAATGCTTTAATTGTTGCTCGCAAAGAAAGTTCGGGCGAAAATGGTTTAATTTAAGTTTCATATCAATGTTATCCAAACTGAAATGTGTTATATAACGACACCAGTTTCTGAGACCACATACCCAAGATATTACTTATTTTATTACAGTAACTTTACGCAAAATGTTGTAAATATCAATACTGATAGAAAATTTTAGTTAACAACGGATAATATAAATTAAAGCAGAGAATTTTGTAAAAACAACCCGCTGTTTGCATATGCAAGATTAATAATCTATCATAAAAGGATTGGCTACTTATGTGGTAACAGAGTTATTATTTACGTTAATAAGAATATTCTGACAATATTATCAACATTCTCAACATGAGTGTGGAAGTGGCACCAACATGCATTCGCATTTGCAAGAACGAATCTGAACAAGAGACTACTTTTAGTTTATAATTACAATACCCGAAGTACCAAAGTTTTTTCTAGAAATTTATTATGCAATCAGTCGCAGTATATTGTTATCACATACGTACGCGTATGATACAAAATTAAAATAGCCTTTCCCATATTAGTGCTAGAAAAGTACATATAGTTTAACTACAATGTCTTATTTATCGATGTATCTCTTCTTGACATAACAAAACGGTTTTTGATTCGAGGCCTGCATTTGTCGATATAAATAATAGCATGCCTTCAAATCCTTTAACTGTAGCAACAATAAACTTATAAAGACTATCGATCATTTGCATTGGCGTTCTTGCGCTGCATAGGAATATGCGTAACAATAACTTTAGTGTGGACTTGCTGTTGCCTCTCTATCCTCAATGTTGTCTCTGAGTTTAGGACGAACTCAGTTTGTCTCGGTCCAGAACTGAGACAGGTCCCCAACTGAGGTATAACACCCCTATATTGCGTGTGATAAACAATCAGCGAACTTTTTAAAATTTTTACTGTAAACGAGAAGTAGATTGAATTAACAACCTGGGTTTTAGTTTTGGCGTGTGATTGTTTTTATATTCTTTCTCAAACTTGTCGTTAACATTTGCGTTTGGGGTTGGAATGACCCTTACACCTTCATTATACTGCTTATCATATAGATTCAATTAAATCTAAGATATTCTTATTTTAAAGGCGCTCGGTGATTTCTCGTTATCAAAAGTCCGTGTTTCTACTACTCGCTCTTTCCATATCTCTAGTCCGTGGATAGATTCTTTCAATTATTTTTTCTTGTAACACTTCATGTTTTACAACAAAACTTGCGAAGCAATCTCAATATATTACGAGTTTCGATTAATCTGCAGGTGGTATTCCCGTTTCAAAGTCCTGTATCGTATGACAACTATTTCAGTACAGCGCAAGAAAAGTAAAGAGTTCTGATAATACAACCATACACTTGTACTGTATAACACGTTATTTTTGCTATAACAGTTGTTACAAAATTTAATTATTTGAAGTTTTACAATGTATTGGTAAGGTAATTACATACTCTTTAAGACTATGTTTCCAAGTCTTTGGTTTCTTCCGTGTCAAGTTATATCATAATGAATAACTTACATTACATGCACTTGTCTATTTATAGTACTTATCAAAAAGACTACCAATAACGATTTATGATATTGATGGGATTAGGTCTGTTTGGTGCATTGTACACAATGTAAAAAGACTGTGTCATATCCTCTTAGTCAGTTTTCTAGTCAAAACACAATTATGCACCAGCCCAAATTGAATGGCCACCCGCATGCATTATGATAAAGTAGTCTGCTATATTTAAATTGCATACTGCGTAAAATAATCTCAGATTGTTTCACGTAAATAATACAAAAAAAAGCTATTCAATATAAGTCAACCTATCCAACACGCTATCTGTTTACGATGACCATTCCGTTGGCTTGGTTAGCAACACGGTTGCAACAAACAATAAGACAAATAAATTCAAAAAATGCAACCTCCTCTGTTCGATCGTAAAGATAGCATAATAAGCGAACAGAATAAATAAACATACTAAAAGCAATAAGAGCGGCCATGCTAATTGCTGCTCCAATTAAAACGTTAAGATTGTTTGTTAGATGCACTAAGTTGTTGTTGTTAGAGCGCTCGTTGGTAGACGAAGGCGTTTGACCTGTTGTCGTTGCACACGGTAATAAAGTAGAAAAAGGTGTGCTGTATGTAGACGGTAGCAATAGAAATGTCAGTATTTAAGCAAAGTCGCAGTTTCAAACATTGTATATTTGTGACTATAGCTTTACCAAACCAACAAAGAAAGTAACTAATAACAGCAAAATTTTGCATGCAAAGAAATACCTTTGTGTTGTTGTTGTTGTCGTTGTTGTTGCCGTTGTTGTTACCGGCAGACAACTCATCCTTGTTGGAGTTGGTTGGGAAGTATGCCTATAAATAATCAGCATATTGTATGTAAATAGGACATGCATTATTTCTTGTACTGTTTATTGCTTGCTTACCAGGAAGAACAGGAAGTATTATTGCCGTTATTATAATCCACTGGAATACAATTGGTTGCAATAACGATAAGACCGAAGAAAACAGCCACAAGAGAGTTATTCATTATTGTCACAAATGTCTTATTGCAAATGTAATCGTACGTCTTGAGATGTAAACGTCACTATTATATAGAGAGCTGAGGTGTGTTTCAACAACTATATGCGCAGGTCGTTATTTAGAGAGGTTACTCTCTTTCTGTTAATGATTTGACGTGTTGTGTTATTATTATAATTAGCAAACTATGTGATATGATGCTTTTATAATGTTTAAGAATATCACGTTTTTTTATCCATTATGTACTTATGTGGTTGACTGGTACCGATATTTCATGTATCATAATCACCGAAATATACGCAGAACCATATCAGGAGTAACATTAACAGTAATCTGTCAAGTCTAAGAAAAAATGCAGTTAATTTTTGTGTCCTACTGACATAAACGTTTTAATCTTCTCGGAGTGGTACCTGACTAGACCGCTGCTATAAATATTTTGTACTCGCTTCCTAATATGTGAGTTGCTAACCTATGGTTAAGCATAGTATGAGAACAAATAAAATGCCTTATCATTTAAACGCTATTTCCATTACTTTTCTCAGAGCTATTTAATTTGTAATGCCCAAATCTCGTCTAAACTCTTTTTTCTTTCAACGATAGCCCTGTCACTAGCTAGCAGTTTATAAATCAAGAGCAAGTCGTTTATGTAATCCCTTAACCGCTCTTTAGAATTAATGAATTATACTGCCGATCATACCATTTACTCGTATTTCAGTAACAGTCGCTTGAATAAGTATTGCATAACTTCTCTTTCACGAGTCAGCATACGCAATCCACGCTCTCTTTGCAACATTTCAATATAGCACATTTTTTAATGATGACGTTAGACTTTAATTTAAAGTAGAGGGTTTACTGAAAGATTGTAAGTCAGAGAGGTTACCATTAACCTTTGTAGTGTACTTTTTTCTAGATAAGCGAAGAATCATAGTCGGTGATAACTCTATATATGAATTATGTCTGTAACAAAAACCATTACCTTAAATATTTATGACGGTTAGAATATTACGCAGTTTATTCCAAACATGTAGTGTATGCAGGTACAATCTTTGTGAAATTGCGTAATAAATTTCATGTGTTCAACTATAATACGGGCAACGCTTGATATTCTAACCTTTTCCTCACGACTGGAAAATGGTAAAATATTAATTATAAGATTTTATTCTAATCAGCATTGACTAATCCAAAACCTACATTTGTCTGATTGCAACAAAAAATAGGGCCAAAAAATGTATTTCCAACCTCTTATAAAAATAGCGTATTGAACAAAATAAATAATCATATTAAAAGCGGTAAGAGCAGCAATACTAACCAACGCTTTAATAAAAATGTTGAGATCGTTTGTTAGCTGTAATATATCCAGATTACTATCGTTCGCAAACGAAGGCAGTGTCCTGGTGCTGTTGCTGGACATGGTAACAAATAGAAAGAGTGTGCTGTGTTTAAACATTAGTAAGGGATCAGTATTTGAATGGATTTTGAACACTTGGTCGCAATTCTAAGCGTTGTCTGCTTATACTTTAGTCATTTATAATCTAATTTAGCTATTAGTGATTTTGGAATTTCATAAATACCTTTGAGCTGTTGTTGTCAGCAGACAATTTGTCCTTGTCGGCGTTGGTTGAGAAGTATATCTAATAAAAAATCAACATATTTTACTTTTTTTTCCTCACCGTTTGTCACTACTCACTGGAATAGAATAGATTGCAGCAATGATACAGCAGAGACCAACAAAAAGTAATTATTCATCATTGATACGGTGTCTTATTACAAGTATATCGTGGTTGTCTTGAAAACACTAGTGAGTCTGCCTTTTTATGCATTGAAAAGTTGAAACTATTTCAATACGACGTGGCTTTGGGTGATACCAATAATTTAAATATTATCCGGTGTTAATATTGCATTAAGTTTTTATTAAGACCAGCAATTATGATTTCTTGTAGTACAAGTGTCAACCCTGTATGTCATATGGTCAATTTTCCATATAGTCATATGACGAATAGTTTGATTATAAAGTAATATTTATTTATTATATTTGTATAGGCTATGACATTATTATCAACATACTAATAGTTGATTGGATAAAGACTAAGTTATGTATATTGATTGTATTGGTGTTATGATTTCTTATGCAGTTTGATGTCAAATTCGGAGGGTTGTGAGATGATTGATACTTTTGAGTTTTTATGTCAAATTCTGCAAATCGTATTATGGGGTCGGCACCAGAAACATTACGTATTTGAGCAAAATTCGTACATTTGGTACTTCATTTGAAACGATCTCTTAATGCAAAAGAGTCTTCCTTTTTAATTAAATATGGTATGGTTCATTGAAAATCTAATACGTAAGCATTAATAAGAGCTTGCAATGTTATGAAGTGACTGCCTTTACCCCCCATAACCAGCCAAAATATAACTTTATAATCCGAAAGATAAGACCGTTCGGACCCTTAATATTAATACGATTATGTAACCAGCAAAGATATTTATTACGTGATTATTTGTAGATCAATGATCACATGAATTGCACTTAGAGAAACACCTGTTGTCCGGAGCGTAGAGGACTTTCTTCCATCATATGCAGTTCCAACAAACGTTACATACAGTACATTTACCCCTGCTTTTTCCTTTTTGGGTTCTGTTCCATTTTTTTAATAACACGTGACTAACAAAACAATAATACTGATGTTCTCCGTTTTCCTAGTATAGAGATGTGGCCTTTTGCAATTGCAGAACATAGAACGTGCACTTATCTCTTAAGCTCCATCATGGGACTGAGCAATTGCTGTGCATTTAGAGAGGGTTGACTGTATTTGCTTTTCAATTTATGGAAATTTTCAATGGGGGACATTCACTTATTAGTCGGTCGGTTTGCCTCGCCCAAACTTTTTGTTCAACACCCTCAAAAGCCCGCCGAGAGGTTAGAATGTTCATAGCGAAATGAAATGCTCTCATTTCGAACTATGTTTGAATTTCCGGCCCATATTCAAACAGTTAATACGTAAACATGGAACAACGCATAATATCACTCTTTTTCACATTAAAGAGTGGGCTACTGTTACTCTCGATATGGTTCTGTGGAACATTCCCTGATGTAATTGTACAACGGGGTGTATCACGAATGTATGACCCACAGAGTTTAAAAATTCTGGTCCGGACAATTATACAAATTACGAAGTGCTCGCACTGTCGATCTGCTCTATCAAATCTTTCATATTTAGAACAAATTCATACACACAAGAAGATGATGGGTATTAATATAACCTTACATATTAGACTGTTAATAAAGCGTTTCTGACAAGATATACGCATGTGACGACAAGAGTTGTTGTTGTTTACCATTAAATGCTGGGGGTAATATGGACTATCGGCACAGTTGAGTTGTGAGCTTGGATAGGTGGAGTAGATTGTGCATCCATCGTGGAACAAAAAAGGAACCGAAATAGGGTACCTCCCTCCGTTCATGCTATACGACTTTCAATTTTTATAAATTACAAGTTTTGCATAATCAAAACAAATAGTTTATTCATAATAGTAATGACCAACAACTATTTTATGGTATTGCATTGGAACCTCTTCTATTCCAGTGGATTATTCTAGTCGCAATAATTCTTCCTGTGTTCCCTGGCCTGGTAAGCAATAACAACTAGTAAAATAAAACTTACGTATGCTATGTGGTTATACTTTTCAACCAGCGCGCACAACGAGAACAACTCAGAGGTATTTTCTTTTGTACATAAAAGTGAGATTAGGACTACAACTAATTCGTCGAATAATGACATTTTTTGTACATTACTAACGTCTACGATGCAGCACACTTTCGCCTACCTCATTGCCCTCGAATGCTAGCGAGAGTAAAGCTACGTACTCTAGTGACGACAATACGGATATGGCGCTATCAGCAAACAATGTTAGGATCTTGGTCAGAGCAGTAGTCGGCATTGCCAGTCTTGTTGCTCTTGGTGTGTGTTTTCTTGTTCGCTCTATGCATTTTGCATAGTCAACTAAAAGAGCTGAGATGCCCCCATCTTTTAAGATCAAGATTTCTATGTTTCTTTGCAACCAAATTAATAGATATTTAATGACTGTTATCAGTTTCATAGTATAAATACTTTTCATGTAAACCGACATTTTTTCATTAATAAATGAAATGTGTGATTAAAAAGTGATATACAGTATGCAGAAACTTTTATAATCATACACTGTCTTTCTCATAATAATTAATATTTTTTCATCATGTATGTAAAGTATAATTGTCAAAGAAATTTCTATTCTTCTGATGATTACAGTTGCCTCAATTTGAGTAGTTTCTTAATATTTATACTACTTGCTTATTTCATCAAATTATATTGATGCTGAAACACTCAGCTTTCTGGGTGAGGAAAAGATGTTGGCGATGTTTATGCTCGTTCTCACATACGGGTTCGGACATTGATTGTTCGATGAGAATCATAAGTGAGGGTCAGAATCCTATTCATTAAGCCTAATGGCAACGTTCGAAAAGCCCTTTGGGCTTTACAGAAGTGTACGAACATTGAAGTGATATTATTTGATAGGTGTTACATAATACGATATGGCTGAATATTTCAATTATAATTACCCCGTCACCGCATTTCGACAGTACGTTTCACCGACATAAATTTCATCGAAAACCAATGATAAGTGCGATAAACAATCTGTCACGTGAATTGACTGCGCCCGTCTGTCATCAAAGAGGTCTAAGATTAAACCATTTTGCTGGGCAGCATAAGCGTGGTTACCGTATGAGTGAAGGCACGATTTATACCGGAAGACATATCCCACAGAACTGCAGGATTATGTAAGTAAAATACAGTGAACGGATCGAACGTCTTATTATTTTATCCTCTCCATCCTCTCCGTTTCATTGCTCATCTATCGATAATTGTCGTGCCTCTCCTTCACTCTCCTCCCATATGACTTTTTTATCGGTTCCGCTTCCGATGTTAAAGTTGGTAGTTTTTAAGGGATTGCTTTGACATGACAGATGGGCAACCGAGGTCAATGAAAGGTTGAAGACAACAAAATCAAAGACTAGTTATCATGATTGCGAATAAAGTAAACATTTAATACAAATGAAGTTACTGCTCGTAAAGCTCAATAATATCCATGACATTACTGTCACTGCTTGTAGTTACCGGGTTTTGCATAATGTCGTTGTATTGACTACAACAAACAAGTTTAAAAATAATATTCTTTCCACCAAGATACATTGTTACGGTGATAATAATACCAGCAATGCCAAGCAGTATCTTGTACATCAAACTGTATTCTTCAGGAATATCGTTAACGGACGGAATAGGTAGAGGAGATGTTGCAATTGTAGTCGTTGCTAAATAGCTTGGAGAACTGCTTGCACTAAATAGAGAACAATTTTATGGTGTGCATATTGCAATAAAACCTCATCATAGTTCAATCAAACATTAAATACCTTTGGCTTATTGAACTCGTTCTTGTATGTGTCGATCGACCATGAAATGTATAACTAAAAAAGATGAACAATTTGTACGTAAATAACACATACGTTGATACCTTTGCTACATGCCAAACTCTTACCAGCAAGTGCAGGAACAACATGCTTCTTCAGAGTTGTTCACTGCAACAGCATAGCTTCCGATAGCGATACAAAGACCGAGAATAATTTTAGCAACGTATCTTTTCATCATCATTGATACGATCTTGTTATGAGTGAATTGTGGGTTTTTATTGACTTTAGAATAATTTATCGGAAGAGAGGGAAGAGTGAGAATACCGCTATTCTTCAATAGTTAGTGTAGGTCTTATTATTATTTCCGGCTACATTTATATTCATGTGTGCGTGGTACGAGGAACGAAAGGGCGTGATACGAGGAACGAAATTGAAAGCGGAATGGCGTACGAAAGGGAGGAACGAAAGGGCGTGGCGTGGTACGAGGAACGAAAGGGCGTGGTACGAGGTACTAAAGGGAGGAACGGGAAGGGCGTGGCGTGGTACGAGGAACGATACGAGTCGAGTAACGGAATGGCGTGGTACGAGGAACGAAAGGGCGTGGTACAAGTACGAAAGGGCGTGGTACGAGGATGTCAGGATCATTTGCACAGTGCAGATCAGGCAGTTGAAAAGACGCTTATTGTCCGGATTTGAGCAGTATTCTGGACAACTAAAATTAGATTGTCCCAATATGTATGTGGACAGACACAAACTATCGACAGTTTAGGTCGTAGCGAGTAGCTAAACATTATTCACTGCTTCCGATAGCGATACAAAGACCGAGAATAACTTTAGCAACGTATCTTTTCATCATCATTGATACATCTCGTTATGAGTGAATTGTGGGTTCTTATTGACTTTAGAATAATTTATCGGAAGAGAGGGAAGAGGTACCGCTATTCTTCAATAGTTAGCGTAGACCAAGCTACGTTTATATGTTTAAAAGGTACAGATGGTACAAGACAGAAATCATTGTTGTTTGATCGATCAAGATACTTTGTACGAGGGTCTTGGCTGCGGGCGTTGAACTACTCGATCATTCATTCGAAGGTTATAATACGCATACTAAATTGGGCTCTAGGAAGGCTCGCAATATCTTGTGCTACATAGTTTCATTTCCCGGTTATCCGTCGTTACATAATAATAATATTCATCCAGGCAGGGCATTGTGTTTCGAGGAAACATGCGCCAGAGAGTGCGCCAACGTCGATGAAATTCCTAAAATGGGAAAGGGGAGGGGAAAGTCGACGAGGGACTAAAATTAATCATTGATATCGGTAAGCAAGAGTTGCAAACATACGTACAGAGATATTACCTATACACCATGGCAGTAAAAAAATTACGGCTACTTTTAACGTTCGATCAGCAGGGTGATCACTCACTTCTGTCAGGGAATTGTACAAATGTCCTGTTATATCATAATATACACAATGCGTCGCTATTATGAAAATTTGTTTCGGGAAGAACAATAAATAAAAGCTTACATGAGAATCTTTGCACAAAATACGACACACATTTCGGTTACTCTTGTACGTATTCCTAACATGCTATGTTGTTGTCAGTCTATTTGTGCACATAACTGTCATCACATACTGTATGCAACTATGTTTATTAGAAGTAAATCCTTTAGTATCACAGCTAATGTGAATGTTCGAAATATACTATGTCATATTTCTATTTTCCTCCACAATTTTTCTGTTGTCGCAAAGCTATAGTACATTGCTTAAACCAGAAAGTTTTTTGCATTTGTGCTATAACATAGACTTAAGTTAATATATGCAGCTTTCTTTTAAATGCCATTATTATCCAAGTCTCTACGAAGAATGTAGAATATTATACTGGTATACTTCGATGCTCAAACAAATTAGCTTTAATCATAATAGTGCTCTTCCAATCAAGTCACACACATTAAAGCTAGTTAGCAGCGTCTAAATGCATTTGTGCTTGTGCTTGATTTAACGCTTATCCATGTTGTGTCTGAGTTCGGGACCTGTTTCAGTTCCGAAGCCCAGAACTCAGTTGTCTTGGTTCAGAACTGAGACAGGTCCCGAACTGAAGTACAGCACAGCATTACCTTTATTCTTTAGGCATATTGTTAGGAGACTGGATAGGCAGTAAAATCTGCTAGTGAAAGCGAAATGTTACGATCATCGTCATCGTAATTGTCGTTATTGGAAGACTCGAGGAACGTTTGCACTAAATAGTAAATGGCAGACCCAAAATGTAAATCCAACAATCACAAAACAATTGTTATTGGAGAGCATCGCTTCACTTAACAGTAGCGAAAATTTGTTTAAATCTTGAACAGTATTTTGTACAAGCTCGTTATCTTCATATTCATTGAGCATCATTTCGAAGTTAGCGAAGAATATTTTCCTTCTCATCATGGTTCATTGAATTAGTGAAACTGACAGAATAACGCTTTATTACTATTGGGATACAAAGTGGTCTTTTTCATATGAAATAGAGTCGACAAATTCGTTTTCCATTATAGAGTAAAACGCTTATTACGCCTTCGTGCTACTGAGAGTTTCTTGGACCTTAAAGTTGATTAATATAGGGCTTATCCCATGTAGATCACCCAAATTTGTGCGAATGACCCAATAACAAATTTGGGGTCTATCTTGAGAGGGACAATGCATCTACCTGCATGCACGGTCGACAAAAAGCGGAAAAAACTGCTACTATATATATCAGGGACATACAATTTCACTCGCAATAAGAAACTGACAGTAATGAAAATTTATCTCGTGCCTGTTGTTTTCGGTCTCTGCTGTGTTGTTACTGCAACCTACTCTATTCCAGTAAATTGCTGTATTTCCTGGTAGGCAAGTGACAAACATTGAAAGAGAGTAATATTGTCTTACTCACGTACAATATGTTGATTATTTATAGGAATACTTCACAACCA